AGCGCCGTAGCGTTGTGCGAAGTTCAACCTAAACAAGTCGGGTGTCAGAAGAAACTAGAATGGATAATCTATAACTTCTGAAAGATTCATAAATATACAGCCAGTAGTTTTCATTTTATCGCGTTGTAAAAACTGCCTTGTTTTCAGATGCAAATATTTCCAGTTCTACTGAACCGATTTTCACGCGAAGACCGCCATTTTGAAAACCTTTCTTTTCTGTTTAAAAAGATGCATCGGGAGTGGTAGTGCAAGTCGCAAAACGAAACAAAACTGTGAGTTGTTTAGACCCACCGTAGCGCGAGGCTTCACGGCCGGTCACAAAAATCTACGGGGCGTACCGCGGCCGATTCGCCCTGCCGCGAGCGCGTTCACTAAACTGCCTACTAAATCAATGGCAAAATTCAAAAATCCTACCAAACTGAAAATGTTTAATGTGTCCCTCGCGCTCATATTATGACCAATGAAGTTGCAAGCGTCGTATAAAACACTTGCCAAAAAAAACTAAAAACCCCCCAAAAATCAGTGGTGAAAAAAATTCAACGAATAGAAATGCAGGAACATCGACAAGAAATTTGAGTTGGAATGGGAAATTTGAGTTGAAATGGGAAATTTGAGTTGAAATGGTCTTTAATAGTTTAAATAAGCAGGGTTTTTTTTTCCTATTTTGTTAAAAAAAAAAAAAAAAGTCTTCCAGGGAGACGGTTCCTCAGTGCCAGACACCAGAGACATTAGTCTTTATTCTACACAAGAGAACCAGGATTTGACTACTGCTTGCTTTTTTGCAGCTTCTGATTTTGTATCATTTTCTTGTGCACTTGTGTGACGGCCGTGCGCCACCTCCGCATCCACTGGTCAAAGGTCAAGCCTTCCGTGACCACCCACGGGGTCAACAGCTGAGCCGGCTGCTCCCACCTGGAGAGGGAAAAAAACAACAAAAACATCACAATACAAGCAATGATGAATTAAGGAGCATACATTCTTTAAGTTAATATTTTCAAACCTTAGTTTGAGTAAGGTTTTTACGGCGCTCACAACTGCATAAAAAGTCATATAAGCACCAAGGGGTGGATGGTAACAGAGAAGTCTTTACAGGGAATCGGGCTTACTCTGCTCACCTCTCTAGCCTCAACTGCACAAAGTCTGGTTCGACTATCAAGGCATCCCCGAAATAGCCGTTCACAAAAGTGTGACAAACATAGAAAAGAAGTAGAGAAAAAATGACGATAGTGAGGACGAGGAAAGAAAAAGCAGCATTTCCCCCTATGTTGTTCCGGCACAGTATGAGCATGACATTGATAAATCAGCCTATTTTTGGATTAACCGGGTTCAGTTTGAGTCGACTTCATTGTCCAGAGCTCTATTGACCTCTTACTGTTACTAGTCGCGTACTTAATAAATAATTTAGTCCTCATTTGTCTCTTCAAAAAAAATTTTTTTTTATAAGAGTTTTATGGCGCGTGCAAACCAATAAGGTCATATAAGTGCCGAAGACTAGAGGTGTTACACGGGAGTAACAAACACAAAAAAGAAGGAGGGGAGATAAAGACGATAGATGTTTGATAGGAAAGAAGGAGCAAACCACACCAGAGCACCCGCCAAACACCCACCATTTGTCTCTCCTGGCCAGTTCAAACATGTAAAGGAAAGTCTGAAGCTTATATTTTTTTTTTATAGTAGAGGGTTTTACGGCGCTCGCAACTGCATAAGGTCATATGAGCGTCAAGGGGTGGGTGTCAACAGAGAAGTCTTTACAGGGAATCAGACTTAGACTACTTACCTCTCTAGCTTCAACAGTACAAGGTCTGCTTCAACTATCAAGGCACCCCGCAAATAGCAAGTCACATGGGAGTGACAACAATACAAAAGAAGTAGAGGAAAATGACAATAGTAAGGATCAGGACAGAAAAAGCAGCAGTTCCCTGTTGTAGATCAGGCACAGTTATGAGCATGACATGAATCAGCCCATTTACAATTCTACTATGCTTGAACGAGAAATGTCCCCCCTTTGGGAATGGGCTAAAGACACTACAGTCAGTGGCACGGCCTCGGGGGGTATCTGAAGCTTAGTGTCAGTGAAGAGAAGCACAATCATACAATAAGACAAGTCCCAGCGCTGAGAAAGACCATGACAGACAGACAGAAATAACACAGGGTACACAGCGCAGTCGGACAAATCATCAAATGGAAATTATTGCTTTGCAGGCGTTTTACACCCTGATTTTTTAAAAAGTTTAGTAAGTGTTTTACGGCACTTGCAACGCAATAAGATCATATAAGTGCCGAAGATTAGAGGTGTTACAAGAGAGTAATAAACACAAAAAAGAAGGAGGGGAGATAAAGACAATAGATGTTTGATTGGAAAGAAGAAGCAAACTACACCAGAGCACCCACAACCACCCACACACCCCGATACGGTTTAGACCATTTAGGAGGCAGGCTGTTTTGACCCTGCCGATGATGGCCGACCCAGGCTCAGAGGGTTACAGTACTACAACAACGTACCCTACTGACAAACGCAGATATTCCACCCAAATTCTCCCCACACAGGATTCAAACTCACATCTTCTGCACGCGACGGTGAAGCGCGTAACAGCTACACCGCAGGCACGACGCGGCCTCAGTGCTGCTTTCTTGTCATATCTCCATTTTTTTTAAACACTGAAAATGTGACTTCTTCTTAAGCTCACTCTTTGTTATAAACTGTTTTCACCGTTTTAAAAAATGGAGATACGACAAGAAAGCACTGAGGTCGCGACTCGTCAAACTAGTGGTATCTTCTTACAGGGATGCCACTCAACTTTTTTGAAACAGCTGAAAATCCACGTGCCACGGTTTCTCTAACATATGAATATCAATTTAAAACCCAAAGGGTGTAGGCCTACATAGAGGGAAATGACAAACAAACAAAAACAATGGGTGTACATAGAAAGAAATGACAAACATTTAAAGAAAAATAGATTAGATGTACTTAGCACGAAAGAATCTTACCTCTCACTTGCATATTTCAGGCATACAGGATTGATGATGGCATTATCCCACTAACTAATTTTTTTTTCCAGCTATAGATTCTATCTCGATCTCAATAACGGAATAGCGGATCAGGATCAAAATACCCGAAATGCCGGAAAAAAGCAGAAAAATGGCATCCCTGTTCTTACCACTCTCTCGATTCTAAAGCTGAGAGTACCACTGTTGGGTACAGAAAAGACCAATCCAACAAAGTCAGCGTGGTGGTGAACCACTCAACCCAGTACAGAAGCAAAAAAAACAAAACAACCTGTACCGTACTCAATGAACAAATAACATTCAACGTTGACTGAGAAAATCTAGCTGTGCATAAAAAAACCCAATGATTCTAGTAACCTAAAAAAAAAAACAACCTAAAATGCCTAATCCAACCACCC